TACCTAAAATTCAGTTTAATTAAATCATTGAGAGTCAAGATATTACTGTAAAATAACGACCTTGAAAAGAAAAATAAAATATATTTTAACTGCATGTACCATTACATTTATATTGAATATTTCATCATCAAAATTATATTTTTCTTCTCTTTATATATTGTATAAATACACATCAAAATAACATTTTCGTATATTTATTCAGTTTGTCATAAAAAATTGTGAAAGAACAAGCACGATTTTTAGGCAATCTGACCCTCCAGTCCCCTTAAACCTAATCTGCAATGTGCTCTTTGCTTCCTGTTTTCTGTTTTTTGTCTCTTGCGTCTTTGCCTCTCAGTCCATCGGGAAAGTTCAGTGTTAATTATGTGGGAATAAGACGATAAGAGCCAATTGCCTATCGTGCTATTTTTACGTATTTGATTTTAAATTTGAGAGCCGTCAAAATATTATTTGAGATGCTAGAGAATTTAGATCAAAAGTAGGACTAAAATTTCGACTTGGGCTAAACATACATTGATCAAGCCTTCAGAATGTACAGATGTTGGAAGATTCAGATCAAAAGAGCAGGGCTGAGATTTCGACTCGGATTGAAGGCTCGAAATCCGCAAGGGCGGCTTTGAATTGCCAAAAGCTCGGTGATTCGGCATTCGGTTCTCTATCTTCATCTACGATCAAACGTAGTTTCTCGTTACTTTAATCGTGGCTCGTTAACAGGTATGAAAAATAGTGACCGCTAGCGATAATCCGATAAGACATACGAGAAGCCGATAAGAAAAATGCGCCCCTCGTGTTCTTGGCGCGGTGACTTTTTCTCGAGCGTAATTTCCGGCACCTTCGAGACCACCGTAATTTCGTCTCACCTTTGACGTAGCGCGTGATTAACTGTGCTGCACGGACGGTTCGTCGTTCATTTATTTCGCGGTGTAATATTACCCGCCGCCGGAAGCGTTAAGCGTCGTCGCTAATTTATTGCGATACTCCGCGGCGTGTCTCGGCACAGCTTTGGGTCGTGTTCTCTATTCATGCGAAGCCAACGTAATACGGCTGAAACGAGGACCCGACCGTTCCTTTGGCTCGCGTAAAAAGGGAATGCAGACGAAGCCGCCACGGCGGCTAAAAGCAAGCTCCAATCCAAGTAGAGACAGACGGCCGGTCGGTCGGCCAGTCAGCCGGCCTGGCTGACCATGCAAGGATTTATTCACTGTGGCTTTCCTTACCGACGAATTATTGTTTCGCCTTAGCATCTGGTTAGCGCAATGTCTCGCGCGATGTATACATCGGGTAAGTGTATCCGGGAAAATTATATCATGAAAGATGCTTGGAAAATTTGGCATATTAGAAAAAAATATATACCGGCGAAAAAATAGTTGAAAATTTATTTGTGAAATATAATGGTTATTTCACAGAGATAAACTTTATTTTGCAGAAATAAACAACCTCAACCATATCCAACAAATAAAATTTCAAATATTCTTTCTTTGTGTATACACTGAGAAAAAAAAAATTTAAGTAAAAAATTTATCTGTGAGATATAATGTTTGTTTTTACGAATATAAAGTTTATTTCTCACAAAAATAAATTTTATATTCCACAAATAAATTTTCAAGTATTTTTTCTCACAAGGGAACAACCAAACTCTTTGATATACTTTTGTGAGTATGTAGAGTAAATCGATTAATGAATAACAATATATTCCATTTGTACCCTATCGCTATTTAAAGATATGATTTACACTTTCAAAGTAAAAAGGACGATTCCACTTTTTCGTGTATTACTCTTAAATTAAAAGAGATAGAAAAAATTTTTTGAATAAAAGTTTAATGGTAAGTTAAGTGCTGTAAATTTTATTTATGCTGACATAAGCATAAATAAAATTTTTGTTACAATAAAAAAAGGTATTTTTTATTTATGCTTATATCAATTTACAGCACTTAACTTACTATTAAACTTTTATTCGAAAAATTTTTTTCTATCTCCTTTAATTTAAGAGTAATACACGAAAAAGTGAAATTGCCCTTTTTATTTTGAGAATGTAAATCATATCTTTAAATAGAGATAGAGCACAAATGGCACTTACCATTATTCATGTTTTTTTATTAGTATGTTATTCTAAATACTCACAAAAATGTAGCAAAATCAAAGAATTCAGATTCGCGGTGTTCCCTTGTCAGTGTCTTGACCTACCGTCCGCTTCGTGACTCATTTTTGGAATAGTTGAAATTTCAATTGTGTTGTATGTTGTTACGGATTAAAGACAAAAGCTACAAGTATTAAGGATTAAACAATGTTCTAACTACAAAGTTGTACATAGATTTGAAATACACTAAATAAAGAATACTTAAAAATTTACTTCTAAGAATAAAAAGAGAGAAAGAAAAAACTTATATTTCATAAAAATTTCTTGTAAAAATAAATTTTTATTCCATAAATAAATTTTCAAATATTTTTTTCTCAGTGTGGTGAAAAAATATTTGCTATTTTCTTTACTCATATATGGGAATAAAAGTGGTTGATGTTGCCCACAAAGCAAACCACGTTAGCGAAAAACAAAGTAGCGGGCGGAGGTTTAATAATTTAGACTTTATTGCCGCGGTGGATACGGTCCGATGATGGACGGCTGCGATTCTGACGCATCTCATCAATTTCCATGAAGAAGATATAAGGCAAGTAAATGCCGAACGCGGATGTTAGCAGAAATATGTTATCAGTACTTATAAAATAAATATTTGTTATTTTTTCAATATTTTTTTTCTTAATGTAGTACATTCATCAGTTGAGTTTAAGTTATGAGTTGTAATTAATGCGGAATAAGTTAGAACGTAAATGTGGCCAATGAAGAGTCGATTGAATCGAAATGAAAAATGCACACGTCGGAAATCGCATTAGTTTGTCGCATCGTGAGTTTACATACGTTCGAAATTTTTTCGTGTCACGATTAAACGGTATACGTATTCTGCATACAAATCGCCAAGTGAGCCGAAATATCTCTTCTTAAATCTGAGACACCCCGTATAGCGGCGGCTATGACTACATTGCCCTTTTTACGAAGTGCTTTCTGTAAACGACGAAACCCGTCACCGGAAGATAAATTGCAACGTAAATCTTCGGTGGCAAGACCTCGCAAACGCGAGCGGGAGCGTATTTATTTATTTAAAGCGCTCGCGGGGGCTCTCCGAAAAGACAATAGTTCCGAATGATAACGATTTAATTGTGTAAATATACGAAGGAGGTTAATGGGAAGAATTCATTAATGCTCCAATAGGATTCGCGACGCTTTACTTTCACAACGAGGTCGTCGCGATATTTTAAGAAAAATGCTCGATATTCGGGCACTCGGAAATTTTAATATATTTACACACTCAGCTACAACGTAGACTATCTTTCCCCCCTCCCGTTCTCTCTCTCTCTCTCTCTCTCTCTCTCTCTCTCTCTCTCTTTCTCTCGCTTTAAAGGATTTGTCTGAGAGCGTGTAATAAAGTACGCTTTTTCTTTTTCTCTTTCTCTCTCTCTTTCACTTCCATATAAACTATATCAATATTTTATGCATCAATATTAGCGTTCTTTATCTAACGCCAAACGACCTAACAATTTCACAGAGTAAATAGTGGTTTGATAATTTCCTTGATACCGCAGGAGACATGAAGTCGTAATATTACGGATGACTGTGCAATCAGATTTCTATTATGTGCTTTTAAGATTGATCGACGCTCGAGGGGCTCTCCTTTATTTTTTTCTCAATAAAGGCATCTTACAGTCACACGCGACCGAGCCATTAAAAGTGTCGACTGTCGCAAGTTCGTGTAATTTATGCTAGCGGGCCGGTCAGACGCGCGACTGCGTTACCGTCGCGACATCGAGCATCTAATCAGATATGCATCGTAATAATATTCGCAATACGAGCGCGTTTCTGCATTAATGCACACGAGAGACCTCTAAAGGATAACAGAAGGGTAATAGTAACAATGCCTGGACATTAATAACACTTGTGCTTAACTCTGTATATTCTTATTATTGTTTCGCTCTTTAAATACACTGAGGAAACAATGTTTAGTATTTGTAACTTTGTTTGTAATCACATAGATAAATAATTGCTACAAATTATGGTCAGGAAAATTTTCTTTTTCATTAAATTCTACTATAATGTTAATAATGATAATCTTGTATGCATGCATGTTACTACCATTGTTACTACTACAAACAAATATCCGTTATAATCATAAATATTTTCATTATTACAATTAGATATTCGTATCTAAAAACTAAAATAATAAAAATGTCCAGAGTTAGATACCAATTTTTTAGTATATAGGCATTGGTACTTTTATCTTATCGATTGTAAAACTCTCGTTATCAAGCGAATCTATACAACATTATCTCTCTCTCTTTCTCTGTCTCTTTCTCTCTCTCTCTATCTTTCTCTCTTTCTCTTCCTCTCTCGACATTAGGCCAAATTATTCCGCGCTGTCAAAATTCTGTCGAGCTCCGTGGCTCACGACGCGTTAATGGGATTTGATAGTAAATAAGATGTGAGTCACAATTATGGCACGGTCGGATGAGAGCTGCGTTATCGCAGTGTCGATAAAAACCGATGATAATTGCCGCTGTGTCGCGGTAATTGCCAAATAAACAGTGATTATCTCGTCATTCGTGATGCGTTCGATTTTATCATTATATATAATATCATATATAATATTATTATATATGTCATCGTATAATATCATTATATACATATAAATATAAAATATTATATATAATATGTATTGCGTCCGGCTTCAATTATTGTATACCGATAAAACTCGTCTCCGTTGCGGAACCGCGGTAAAACGTTGCGCTTTAGTGACGCGCATATTGCGGACGATGAAACGGCAAACCGTCGTCGAAGAGCAGCGCTTGCGTTGTGAGGTGAAAGGTTAATATGCGAGTTGAAATTGCGCAACGTTCGCCGCCGGCTGGCCGGAAAAAAAGGCGAATTAATGATATCCGTAATTATGTATTTCCAGAAGGAGCTACCGTCCTCATGCTTGGCAGCGGTTTTCCTGGACCAACTTTAAGTAAGTCGGCCGATAGTGTAATTAAAATTTTCTCAATTAAGCCCCTTTGTGGAATTATCTTGCAACGTGCGCGGTACAAATAGACGCTGGGCTCTGTTCGATAACAGAATTAAACGCAAGGACTGCGAACCGAATTAAATTACTCTCTCACCCTCTGTCTCTCCCTACCTCCCCCACTCTCTTTCTCTTTCTCCCGCATACATTTACGCATCATTTTAACCTCTTTGATGTTTCGTGCATGAATAACTCAAAGGTTCGTATTGGCACTACACGCGCGCAACTATAAAATATATTCGCGTCGCGACGATGTTATCTGCAATGTACGCTAATTGTGTCTCTCGTCATCGCAACTTTTTCCCTCGACGGGGGTTTCATCACGAGAATGTGTATGCATCACGAGGGGAGGGGGGGGGGGAGGGAAATGCAAACACGAAGGCTCGCGGGAATGTAAATATGAGGCTGGAGGACCACTTAGGACCGTAAAATTTTAACGGCGCCGCGCTATATGCGCCGCACGTGGCGCGGCCGATCGAAACACGAAATTGCGTTCCGCGGGCCGCGTGTAGTGGAATCGCGCGCGAAGCACACGCGCTCTGTCGCGGAAAATGTATCGCCTGTGTTTATTCGTGGTGGCAGGATTTGTTTATTCACGTCGGCGCTATCGAGTGGCAGTTTTATTCGCCGTCCCGTGGCACGTGAACAAAGTTTTCCCCCGGCGCCCGCGCTTTAAAGCCGGGTAGGTCGCCGAACGTGCGGCCGATCTCGTCTGAATTCGACGATTGAGAGAAGTTCGTTCCCTGTGCATCGGCTTGTGTATGGGAGTATGTGTATGTGTGTGTGTGTGTGTGTGTGTGTGTGTGTGTGTGTGTGTGTGTGTGTGTGTGTGTGTGTGTGTATCCGTCCCGTTATCCTGTTCCGTTCCCCGTCGGTTTTAGGATGTGTGCGCTTGTCGTGTCGGGGGAACATTGCCATGTCAGAAACTCCGGAGGTTCGCGCTATCGGAAAAACCCTGTGTCGAATATATCCGCCGATATCTTGCCGCTGAATATACCGCGTACCAGCGTAATTCAACCGGGGTATCGATGTATCGGACAACTGGAAGGGTGGCAGGAAAGGAACTTGTAATTTTTAATATTAAAAACTACGTGGCGGTCAAAGGGGAGGTGGAATTAATTAATGCGTTATTCGATGTCACGAGTTACGGGATTCCCGGATACATCAAGTATGGCGCGCAAGAGAGGGCTGACTGGATAATAGAATACCATCTTTCTGCGGCGCGTTAATTATGTAAATTCAATTTAATCCGCGATAGACCGTCCTCCACGGATCCGTTTGAGAAACGTAGGAACCCCCTGGGGATCGACGATCGATCGGATATGAACGGGAATAAGATTTTCAAATTTCGATTTCTCAGGAGATGAGATCGACGTCAATCCCGTAACGGCATCGAACGGTAATTGCACGTCTGATGGACTGTCGAATCGCGGGACGCGCATCAGCGAAGTAATTTCGAGCCATCTTATATTCACTATTACTCCTCGTCCATTATTTTGCCCTTGAGAATAATCGCAGGATGGCCGCGTTTAAGCATTAAGGGTGTATACTTTCTACAAAGAGTTACAAAAATTAGAAACGCGTTAATGCTTATACTTTACAGTTAAATAGCAATAAGTTTTACTTTGCCAACGCATTTTTTAAATAGTTTATTTACTTTATTTTATATTATTATTTTGGGCTTTTAAATGTTTATATGTTTCTCTGAAGCGCAGTAAAACCTTGTATCATCATTTTGAATACTTAAAGTACATAATAATCGAAATTTTTGTCATAATTTTTTTTTATTTCCTTTATTAAAGGTAGCAACCTCATACACAGAAAAAAACATCATGCATATATATAATAGTATAATTCAAGATAATCCCCAGGGGACGTCATTAATGTATAATTAAAACATTATCATATATGCTAAGCTTACATCTCAAAGTGAAATAAAACTTTTGATTTGAATCAATGTCAAATTACTTTGCGATTCCATTTATAGAGATGCAATATAGATTAATCTTTAATTTCTTCAAAATTTTTTTTATTATTTTTTTAATATGGACAATGCATTCTTAAACATTCGGTCGAAATGTAGAGATACTAATGGTTACCGAGCTGTCACTCTCTTTCTGTAACCCGCAAAAAATCCACAAGTCTCTCTCTCTCTCTCTCTCTCTCTCTCTTTCTCTCATTCGCTCACTTACTCTCACACACTCAAGCCGGATTTTATTTCGACAAGACTCTCCTTCTCTCTTTTGTCTCTTTCTCCTTCTCAAGCTTGTCACTTGCAGAGCCTGCCAGAGCATGGGCGGCCGAAGAGCCGGCTCCGGCGGGAGCCGGGCGAACGCCGGCGTCCTCAAGGAACGTGCCAACATGTCGTTCATGCTGGTCGTCATGTTCTTCGCTGTGTTCGGCCTGATCGTCCTCACGGAGATATTCCTGATCGACGAGAGGCGCGGCGTGAGCGTAGGCGGCACCGGCGTACTCGGGGGTCACAGGAGCGGTCATCGATTGCCAGCTGCGCCCGATCGTCCGGATTACGGCGAAGTAGGAGTAAGTAGCACGGCTATTCCCTCCGCTCGACGATTTATATAACTTCGTCCCAGCTGATCCTATCCCGGTGACGTCACTTTAATCGCTCTTCCCCCGTTGCGAAGAAATTGATTCCCATCTCCGGGGTGTTCCGCCCTGATAACGTTTCTCTCGTTTGCACACGTGTGCAGACACTAGCGTGCACGTTTTTCGAGCCGTTCTAATAATAAAAAGATCATATGGACGGCGATGCTCGCGCTTCGTACCGTCATCTTTGCGTCATTTCGTTTTGTTAGTTTTACGCGAACGATCGTTACTCAACGCCTTCGCGATGGTCGCTTCTTCTCTCTGTCTTGTTGCTGTGCGCGAATAGTAACTAATTTGTTGTTAAATTGTTTCTGGAACTTCGAATTGTATTATACTTCGCGCGAGCACGACGGTTTATCCCCAGAGGACGTATCTTGAAACGCGCCTTTCCTTTATCTTTGTCTCCTATCTTATCTGCTTAATATCGTTTTCGTTGCTTTTAAATCGACCTTACGTGCAACAACATTTTATTCCATCATAGAAAAAAATAGTTTGGTTGATGCAGCAAATCTGTAGTTTGCTGGACAGAATTTAACGTTACAATTGAGCAAATTTGTTAGCGCAGCAAAAAATTGCGCGTGAATACAATTGTCAATCTGCTCATAAAACAAACCCATCACTCATTAAGCTCATTGAGTGAGGCGAATACATTAATTATCATTAAACGAATCATGCACTTATTCAGTAAATAACAAACAGATGCTTTTGTTCCTTTTACAGAGAAATGCACTCCATTAAATCTGAATGCAAATGTCCGTAATAAGAAATATATTATATATTATGCAATTTAAATTTTTTTTTTATATTAATTGTTTATGTATTTTTTACATAATGTACTGATATAAATTATACGTATTTTACTGCGTATGTATTTTCAGAAATTTCAATGAATATTGTTGCTTTAGCCAACTTCTATTATGGGAACAACTAATTATATAATGAAATCCATTAATGTACCAAATTTCCTTCCATACAAGAGCCGGAAGATTAGTTGTGCACCACTAAGCTATATTTTCCACGTGATAGAGAATCGTCTTCGCTGCACTAACAAATCTGCCGCTGTAACAGGAAATTTTATTAGGTACAGTCACGCACACTTTGCACACTTTTTATCGAATGAAGTTACAACGCTTCAAGTGGTTAGAATTTAAAGCCACTGCTGATGCATGTATACGCTGTAATCGTGTTATAAAAATACATAAAAAATTGCTCCTTGAATTAATGTTCTCTTAATTTAAATCCTTTTTTTTCCAAATTTTTCACAAATATCACACTCTGTATAGGTTTCTGTCACAATCGTTTACTGTGCATACACGTCAGCAGTGGCTTTCAATCCTGACAATTTGAAACGTTGTAACTTTATTTGATAAAAAGTGTGCAGACCGATTTGCAACTGACTGTACAATCATAAATCTTATCTAAACAGGAAAAAGATAATTTTCCTATTTAGAAAAAATATCTTTGTTTTTGATAATCTTTAAATGTAATCTGACAGCTTTTTTCGCAAGATAAGTTACTCGCAAGAATATATTTTATATGATTGAAGGAAAAAAACTTGTGTCCTTATTATTAAAAAATAATTTTTATTAATGGAAATTACAAAATATTGGATTGAGTATATGATGATTTTAGATGTGTATTAAATTCCAGATTCCGCTATTTACTTAAAACTAATATACTTAAATTAACAATTATTATTTTTTTATATATAAGCAAAAATAAATAATTTTATTAGAACAATTTTTAAGTCCTACATTTCAATATAATGTTATAATTTTATTTAAATATTTAATAGCTTTATAAAAAATTCAACGTAATTATCTTGATGATAATATCTTCTTGCAATATTTAAAAATTTAATATTCTCAATCTTATGTTTTTCGTGCTTTTCATTAATGCAAATTACTTTTGAATAAAAAGAACACAGGTTTTTCTTCGTTAAATCATTTGAACATGTTTAATTTGATCTGAAAATTAACAGGTTCTATTTTGTGAGATGTAGTTACTGCGATTTAGTTACTATAGCGTAGCAAACTTGCGTGACGGCAAATCTTTTTTTTCCGTGGCACTGTTAATTTCATCAGCTCGTGCCAGTTCAATTCTAATTCACCGTGTATGCGAACGCAACACTGAAATAACGCGGAAAAACGGTGTTTGCGGAACACGAGTTGAAAAACAAGAGGGAAAATGTAAACTGGAAAAAGATACCGTCGAGACGACTTTCTGTATTTTGTTTTCCTTTTTTTCTGTTTTTTCTTTCCTTTCTTCTTTTTTTCTTTTTGCTGACTACAAAACCGACGTGTTTCTGGCAGGTGCGAAATCTGCGGTAAAACCGCACAAAGCGATTAATAAATCCGATAATCTTACGTATCTATCTCACCTCGTGTGCAGTATTTTACGACATACGCGTACCCGACGTATTTGCTATCGCGTGATCTCTTTGCGAACGTTCAACTTTGCAATTTATGCCGATGACCGACACGGTTATGGAGCGAATTCGAGGGTTCAATGAGGAAGATAGAGAAAAAGGAGAGGACTTTCGGGATCTCTCCAATCCGCGGCGCGATTCTTAATGTCGAAGTAACTCCCCGGAAACGTCTTCCTCTTTGCCGTTGGCAATAATCGAGCGCGCATCAGGGTCATATTCCGAGCAGAAACCAGAGGGAGGAAAAAAAGTAGATGTCGGAGAAACTCGGAACTTGAAAATTCCCACCGTTGCACGCGCGAACGCGCTCTCCCCTCCTTTCTCTCTCTCCCCCTCCCCCTCCCCCTCTCCCTCTCCCTCTCGCTCGCTCGTCGTCGGGAAATTACCTCACGTATAAAACTCGCCTCGAACCAAGTTACACTTAAGGGGTTACAGAAACCTGATAGGAGTAAAGATTAGGTAGAATTTAAGGAGCTGTAAAAATTTGCAAATTAATAGAAGTATGAATTTTTTGTTATGTATGCCTATTAACTACATTTAACGATATCTTAATATAAAAAATTAGATTTTATAATAAATGTTAATTATTTCAATTTTGTTCTGTAAAAAAAATTATGTAAACGTCCTAACATCAACAGAAGTAATCTGAAATCAGTATTAATACATTTTTTGTTTCTTAGTTTATTTTGTTTGTAATTATCGGTTCCCGAACCACACACAGATTTTGAGAGAAAGTCATATTTCGCAAAATGGGAGTTACAAAAAGTCAAATTGAATCTTTTCATTGAAAAATTCAAGCTTAATCTGTAGGCTGCCGGCAGTTTTTCATTAAAAAAGTGGTTTTTTTTCTTAAAAATTTTTCTATATAAATAACATATACATAGCGTAGAATTTTGAGATTTATGCAGAGTCACAAAAGTGGCTTTCCTGGCAGGGTACATACGATCAGATATAAAAAAATTTTTTTCCAGTGTATTTAGGGGTTTTTGCTATCGCTGATTCCAATTCTGAGCATAGATTTATGAAATTTCGAGCCCTAAGCGCAATATTGACAACATAAATAAACATAAACATATATTTGTCTACAAAATCGCAAAAAAAGAATAAATATTTTATCTATCAATGGCGTTGTGTCGACAGAAAAAAAAAAGGAAACATTAGTAGTTACAGTGTCTTGTATGGATTTCGCGAACTATCTATTTGAACTATCTATTGGAGTTAGCGTACCACGAACGAGTGACACTAGGCCGGAGGAGCGAGTAATAGTATTCACGCGTGCGGCGAAGATAACAAAAGCCGCCGCGCCGCGAAGACGTTGCTACGTTTTGACGAGCGCGAAACGGGTACCGGAAAGGCATGCATTGCGTAGGCTACATACACACATATATGTTTAATACATTTAGTATTTAAAATACCACTAAAAATAGTAGTATTTTAACCCAAACTCTAGAGCCACAAAAGTGGCTTTTCCGGCAGTCTAAAAGTTAATAAATAAAGAACAAATTAATTGAATAAGTAAAAAATGGTCTTGAAATTTGCGAAAAACCTCCGTAAGTCAATATCGCCAATTATGATAAACATTAGTGTCAAACATTAAGTTCGAATAAACCATACTCAAGTTATCATGTTTACAGTTTAAAGAAATGCTACTTCAAAAATAACGCGTTTGAAGTTTTATAATGATTTCTTTTGCAACTTTCTTATATCATATTGTTAAGTGTATTTAACAGATATATATAATAAAAAATTCATGCTTCTATCAATTTACAACTTTTTCCAACTGCTCTAATTTTTACTCCTGTCAGACTCGCGTAACCTCTTAATGCTTATAATTAAACTTCTGGCGAAGTAAAAACGCGGTCGCGCTGAGAAAAATGTGAGTTTGTATCCTTCGTTCTTCCGGCGGATGAAAATAGCCATGGGTATGAAAACAAGAGTATATAAACAGGAGTATGTAACTTCAACTTTAAAATTCGATAGTTCCGATTAGAGTTCTGATTAGCTTCCTTTTGAAGAATATAAGAATACTTTCATATTAATAAAAAGAGTTTCAGCGATTAACTTTAAAATATACCAATTAAAAATGAGATGCTAACTTCAGTGGTACTGACATCAAATGTCTACCACTGGCCTCAATCGTGTAATCTGCGATAGTGATTTTTTTAATAATTCTGGGAATTTTATTATTTTTTTTAACAGGAACTCTAAAACTCGCCGGAAGAAATCAAATAAACTATTCAGAACTATTCGCGCGTACGCGCTGACTTGATATTAAATTTTTTTTCAATTTTTTATATTTTTGAAAACAAATTTTTTCTATCAAGAATTCTAGTGTTGGTCAAAGGATATCAAATCAACTACTCCGAATTTTTCTATCATAATATTGGATGTAAAGTTAGCATCCCATTTTAATTGCTATTTTAGCACTGTTAATCGCTGGAACTTGTTTTATAAATATAAAAGTACTTCTATACTCTTCAAAAAGAAGTTGGAACTTTAATCAGAACTATCGAATTCTAAAGCTGGGATGTTAATTTCACATACCATGAAAACAGAGTATTACTCTGCCGTGGCGAGATGGTTAACCGGATTCTTATTTATCTTCTACGCGCATTTCTGCACATTACCGCACATTATCTCTGCCACTCAAGCCGATTTTTCGACGCGCGAGCCGCTGTAATTAGAAAGCCGCTCTCGCATTTATCACTTTCCGACCTGGCTGTTATCGCGAATCTTATTTATTCGCCCGCGTCTGCTCCCTCGCGACGCTGTGTAAAATACGTCGGTGTATTATATTCCCCAATGTCTCTTTATACGACCATTATTGCACCCTCGGTAATCCGGAGGTATTTTCCGCCGCAAGCCAAAGGACACGAGACTTCGAAAGCGTTCCACGGCGACGGGGTAGCGGGCTCGACTTTTTGCACAACGTCGCTCTTTGTCCACGTGGAGCTCGAACAAAGCGCATGAACGCGAACGCGCGACGGTGGAACTCAGGCGAAAAGGCCGAAAACTTCGCCACGTAGGTAGAGGTATATCGATTTTTCCTGCGTCGCAGACGTATGCCGTCGTCGTCGTCGTCGTCGTCGTCACGGTGTCTCTTAGTCCTCGCGGTGCCTGTTGCAACGTGTCCGGTGTAAAGCAAAACGTCGAGTAGTCAGTACTGCACTGAAAAAATTATTTTTGTATTTGAAGTAAACTAAAGTATTTGGTGCATACAATTTAGCATTATCATGTTTCTTATTTGTATCACGTAGGATGTATTAGTGAGAAAGCAAAAGACACAAGCGGTAATTAAATTTGTTGGTTGCAATTACTATACACTTGGTTGATCCCATTTCAATCAAATTTTGATTAGGTGTACTAAATTTTCGTTTCAACAACGAAATTGTACTTTGAGTATACCTGTTTTCGGCACTCTCTTGCGCAGGTATTATCAGATACTAGTCCAGACTACTCGACATTGTCCGAGTTATCATAAAGTGTCAAGGGGATGGAATTAGGGGGAGGAAGTGAAGTGCTCGGATTTGTGTGTGTATGTGATATAGCCTATATTTCCTACAGAGTCCTAGAGAGTAACTATGCAAAATTTGGTCTAGATCGGTCAAAGGGTTTAGCAGTTTATAAGGAACAGACAGGCAGACTATTTTATGTACATATAGATTAAGATTAGTGTGAGGATTTAAGAGGAAATGAATAAACAAGTAATAAATAATAATCGCCAAACAATTAATGAATAACGGATAAATCCCCGTATACTTGATAACATCTGTTAAAATCCGAGCAAAAGTGTCGAAAACAGATGTTGTAACGAGTGTCGGCTGCCGACCGTTTCGCCCTAGTTTATGCACCCTCGTGCTCTCGCCGGACAATGATTCACGTGAATCCGGGACGGAGGAGTAGAAACAGAGGCGGCCGCGCGAGAAGCCAGAAGGAGCCCGCGTCGCGGGCTCCTGGAAAAGACACACGACCGCTGTGGAAAAGTTTAACCGGATACGACCGAGCGCCTGGCTGACAAATTAGTTAGCTCAATCCCGCGGAACTTTCTTCATCCGTTTACATCTCCTCCCTTCGCTCTCTGCCTCCTGTGGCAGAGTCGCGCGCGAGTATCCCGAGGTATCCTGTAAAACTCACCCCGAAGAGTCGACGATCCCGGGAATTTCGAACTTTAACATCTCGCCCACCGTCGTCCTTGCTAAACTGTATTTATGAGCGCTCTCTCTCTCTCCCTTCCTCTCTCTCTCTCTCTCTCTCTCTCTCTCTCTCTCC